GAACTGCCCCTTCATCAACAACCCCAGTCTCTTCTGCATCAACTGCACCAGTAACTGCACCTTCATCAACAGCTCCAGTCTCTTCTGCCTCAACTGCACCAGGAACTACACCTTCATCAACAGCTCCAGTCTCTTCTGCCTCAACTGCACCAGGAACTACACCTTCATCAACAGTCCCAGTCTCTTCTGCCTCAACTGCACCAGGAACTGCACCATCATCAACAGCCTCAGTCTCTTCTGCAACAACTGAACCAGGAACTGCACCTTCATCAACAGTCCCAGTCTCTTCTGCATCAACTGCACCAGTAACTACACCTTCATCAACAGTCCCAGTCTCTTCTGCAACAACTGCACCAGTAACTGCACCTTCATCAACAGCCCCAGTCTCTTCTGCATCAACTGCACCAGGAACTGCACCTTCATCAACAGCCCCAGTCTCTTCTGCATCAACTGCACCAGTAACTGCACCTTCATCAACAGTCCCAGTCTCTTCTGCCTCAACTGCACCAGGAACTGCACCTTCATCAACAGTCCCAGTCTCTTCTGCCTCAACTGCACCAGGAACTGCACCTTCATCAACAGCCCCAGTCTCTTCTGCCTCAACTGCACCAGGAACTGCACCTTCATCAACAGCCCCAGTCTCTTCTGCCTCAACTGCACCAGGAACTACACCTTCATCAACAGCCCCAGTCTCTTCTACTTCAACTGCACCAGGAACTGCACCTTCATCAACAGCCCCAGTCTCTTCTGCTTCAACTGCACCAGGAACTGCACCTTCATCAACAGCCCCAGTCTCTTCTGCTTCAACTGCACCAGGAACTACACCTTCATCAACAGCCCCAGTCTCTTCTGCTTCAACTGCACCAGTAACTGCCCCTTCATCAACAACCCCAGTCTCTTCTGCATCAACTGCACCAGTAACTGCACCTTCATCAACAGCTCCAGTCTCTTCTGCCTCAACTGCACCAGGAACTACACCTTCATCAACAGCCCCAGTCTCTTCTGTCTCAACTGCACCAGGAACTACACCTTCATCAACAGCCCCAGTCTCTTCTGTCTCAACTGCACCAGGAACTACACCTTCATCAACAGCTCCAGTCTCTTCTGCCTCAACTGCACCAGGAACTACACCTTCATCAACAGCTCCAGTCTCTTCTGCCTCAACTGCACCAGGAACTACACCTTCATCAACAGCCCCAGTCTCTTCAGCCTCAACTGCACCAGGAACTGCCCCTTCATCAACAGTCGCAGTCTCTTCCGCTTCAACTGCACCAGTAACTGCACCTTCATCAACAGCCCCAGTCTCTTCTGCTTCAACTGCACCAGGAACTGCACCTTCATCAACAGCCCCAGTCTCTTCTGCCTCAACTGCACCAGGAACTGCACCTTCATCAACAGCCTCAGTCTCTTCTGCCTCAACTGCACCAGCAACTGCACCTTCATCAACAGCCCCAGTCTCTTCTGCCTCAACTGCACCAGGAACTACACCTTCATCAACAGCCCCAGTCTCTTCTGCTTCAACTGCACCAGGAACTGCACCTTCATCAACAGCCTCAGTCTCTTCTGCCTCAACTGCACCAGCAACTGCACCTTCATCAACAGCCCCAGTCTCTTCTGCCTCAACTGCACCAGGAACTACCCCTTCATCAACAGCCCCAGTCTATTCTGCCTCAACTGCACCAGTAACTGCCCCTTCATCAACAGCCCCAGTCTCTTCTGCTTCAACTGCACCAGCAACTGCACCTTCATCAACAGCCCCAGTCTCTTCTGCTTCAACTGCACCAGAAACTGCACCTTCATCAACAGCCCCAGTCTCTTCTGCTTCAACTGCACCAGGAACTGCCCCTTCATCAACAGCCCCAGTCTCTTCTGCTTCAACTGCACCAGGAACTGCCCCTTCATCAACAGCCCCAGTCTCTTCTGCTTCAACTGCACCAGTAACTGCCCCTTCATCAACAGCCCCAGTCTCTTCTGCTTCAACTGCACCAGGAACTGCACCTTCATCAACAGCCCCAGTCTCTTCTGCTTCAACTGCACCAGGAACTGCACCTTCATCAACAGCCCCAGTCTCTTCTGCCTCAACTGCACCAGGAACTACACCTTCATCAACAGCCCCAGTCTCTTCTGCCTCAACTGCATCAATAACTCCAGCGTCATCAACAACCCCAACAGCAGCAGTTGCTACAGCCATTTCAACAGCAGGCTCTGTGTCTTCAGCAAGCTCACAACCTTCAACAGTCCCAATGGTATCCTCAGCAGTCACTGCGGCTGCCTCTCCCCCACCATTGGCACCAACATCATATTCGGTAGCAGTATCCTCCTACTCTACAGCTGGGCCAAGCTCAGTAACAACTCCATCAACAGCTGTGAAAATTACTACGGTTTCATCTGCACCAGGTATAAAAATGTTTGCATGCAACAGCAGCGGACCATCTCATTACAATATTAATACAAAATATGTTTACATACAAGCCACATTCATAGAAATCCTACCACAGACAAGAACACCCGAAACAACATTAAGAAAACAATCATGGAATGCAAACGTCATCATGTCCAACATTAAAATTTTAACATTTACGGAATCATTGAAAACGAATTAGCAACTGCCGTTGTTGCATTTATTGATGTTTTACATTGTACTTCTTGCAGGATCCACAACAGCGATAAAAACGACGATCCTTACCTCTTCAAGTCCTCAGACTATTTCCGAAGGTAAAAACATTTCTGGACGCGAACGTGCCTCTGAACGCTTTGTCACCGATGCTGAACAAGACAACTGGGAGAGGCCGGCATTGAACATTTCTCCCAATAGTTTAGCCTTTGGTTGTTATTAAAACATTTTGAAAACAATATTCCCTTACGTAGTATATATGTAGAGTGCGATGAGAGGGGATTACAATGAGATGAGGGGGGAGAGGTGTGAGAGTGCAAGGATGAGAGTAACGTGAGATGAGAGCGGAGAGGTAGTCAGGTTCGAGTCCAGCGATGATCTTAAAGATTATGGATACATTCATAACCATTTCTCAGCTGCCCTATTTCCTCGGGTCACCAATGTCACAAAAAGTATCCTATGGTCTGTGAACTCAGGTCAGGACATTGCAGCTTGTATGGCATGCCCACTTCCCTCCCTATAAAATGTTAATTGAGTTTTATTCTTTTGCATGTATGTTGAAATTCTTTCGCACCGTACGTAGCCAACCGTGCTAATTCGAGGTGCAGGGGAAGTGATTTGTTTACCTTTCCTAAACTTCACACTCCTATCATGTTTTGTAATGTTTGTTGTAACGTTTTGACCATTTTAACACGTAGGCTGCCGCGGCCAATATCATCCATAATATAGGGGTTTTTTTGTTGGGTAAGATCGCGTAAATATAAACGCATCTTTAAACCCCGACACCACCCAACACACCCAATTAGAAAGGTTTGTCACGTAAATAGAACATGCCAATTGATTACTAGTACAGCACACCAGTGTGTTGGAGAGCAAATACACAACATTTACAAGTCCCGACTGAACATCTGTGAAAATAACTTCACAACTTATCGTATTTCTTCCAGTATAAATACATATTCTGTTTAAGGGTGATACATAATTTTAACTTGTTCTATCTCTTTTTACCAAAGCGACATTGGTCCCTGTGACAAATGCACCAATCAACGCAGTGAAGACAACAACCTCATCTCCAAGCACAGGTAAACGTGCATCCATCAAAGTTGATGATGTTTGAGGTGGGCAGGTGGCTAATAATGTGTCGCAGACGCTGAGTCGGCACCGCCGAGATCCTGGGTTCTAACCTGGGTTTCAGCCACACAACCAAAGTGGGTTCTGAAGCGAAATGCGTTTATCAGTCACAAATTACTTATGCAGACTTACGCATCGACCAGAAACCATCCTTAATCTCCCAGTGCATTCATCAAATCAAATGTAACATGGCTATGCTATATGGATTACATGACATGGGTTAATATGAACGCTGTAGTCACTAGAGAAGCGCTACCATTGACCACAATGTTGAAAAACAGACAATGGATTATTTAATAGAATTTAATGTAACTTTGTTTTTCGCAGTTGTACTGCACAGCTCTCCGATATGTATTCAAAGTGTGCTTCTGTGTTTTGAACTACCCATTGATCAACCAATAATTAACTGGTTAGATGTTCCGCGAAAATATTGTTGTAAGTGGAATGTGGCAAATGCTTAATATCCCATTTGTATTCATACTCCTAACGCTATGCAAAAATTAAAACTTTTCAGGCACAACTGCAAAAACAACAACAGCTCCTAGCCCAACAAACTCACCACCAATAACCACAATAGGCACATCAACTACAACAGCAAAAATATTAACAAGCCAGTCTTCCATGGCAATAGTAGGACCCATATCATCAGCCACAACGACACCAACAGTCGCACTAATCACAACAATAACGGCAACTGCAGCGTCATCAGCCTCAACAGCAGCTCCAGGCTCAAGAGCCACATCAACAGCTCCAGGTTCAACTGCAGCGCCAGGCGCAACAGTCTCAACAACAGCACCAGGCTCAACACTCTCAACTGCAGCGCCAGGCTCAACAGTCTCAACTGCAGCGCCAGGCTCAACAGTCTCAACAGCAGCTCCAGGCTCAACAGTCTCAACTGCAGCTCCAGGCTCAACAGTCTCAACAGCAGCTCCAGGCTCAACAGTCTCAACTGCAGCTCCAGGCTCAACGGTCTCAACTGCAGCTCCAGGCTCCATAATCTCAACAACAGCTCCAGGCTCAACAGTCTCAACAACAGCTCCAGGCTCAACAGTCTCAACAGCAGTGCCAGGCTCAACAGTCTCAACTGCAGCTCCAGGCTCAACAGTCTCAACAGCAGCTCCAGGCTCAACAGTCTCAACGGCAGCTCCAGGCTCAACAGTCTCAACAACAGCACCAGGCTCAACAGTCTCAACTGCAGTGCCAGGCTCAACAGTCTCAACTGCAGCTCCAGGCTCAACAGTCTCAACAACAGCACCAGGCTCAACAGTCTCAACAACAGCACCAGGCTCAACAGTCTCAACAACAGCACCAGGCTCAACAGTCTCAACAGCAGCTCCAGGCTCAACAGTCTCAACAACAGCGCCAGGCTCAACAGTCTCAACAACAGCACCAGGCTCAACAGTCTCAACAACAGCACCAGGCTCAACAGTCTCAACAACAGCACCAGGCTCAACAGTCTCAACAACAGCACCAGGCTCAACAGTCTCAACAACAGCACCAGGCTCAACAGTCTCAACAACAGCTCCAGGCTCAACAGTCTCAACAACAGCACCAGGCTCAACAGTCTCAACAACAGCACCAGGCTCAACAGTCTCAACAACAGCACCAGGCTCAACAGTCTCAACAACAGCACCAGGCTCAACAGTCTCAACAACAGCTCCAGGCTCAACAGTCTCAACAGCAGCACCAGGCTCAACAGTCTCAACAGCAGTGCCAGGCTCAACAGTCTCAACAGCAGCACCAGGCTCAACAGTCTCAACAGCAGCTCCAGGCTCAACAGTCTCAACAGCAGCGCCAGGCTCAACAGTCTCAACAACAGCACCAGGCTCAACAGTCTCAACAACAGCTCCAGGCTCAACAGTCTCAACTGCAGCTCCAGGCTCAACAGTCTCAACAACAGCACCAGGCTCAACAGTCTCAACAACAGCTCCAGGCTCAACAGTCTCAACAGCAGCGCCAGGCTCAACAGTCTCAACAACAGCACCAGGCTCAACAGTCTCAACAACAGCTCCAGGCTCAACAGTCTCAACAGCAGCTCCAGGCTCAACAGTCTCAACTGCAGCGCCAGGCTCAACAGTCTCAACAGCAGCTCCAGGCTCAACAGTCTCAACATCAGCGCCAGGCTCAACAGTCTCAACGACAGCTCCAGGCTCAACAGTCTCAACAGCAGCTCCAGGCTCAACAGTCTCAACATCAGCTCCAGGCTCAACAGTCTCAACATCAGCGCCAGGCTCAACAGTCTCAACGGCAGCTCCAGGCTCAACAGTCTCAACAGCAGCTCCAGGCTCAACAGTCTCAACAGCAGCTCCAGGCTCAACAGTCTCAACATCAGCGCCAGGCTCAACAGTCTCAACGGCAGCTCCAGGCTCAACAGTCTCAACAGCAGCTCCAGGCTCAACAGTCTCAACAGCAGCTACAGGCTCAACAGTCTCAACAGCAGCTCCAGGCTCAACAGTCTCAACAACAGCTCCAGGCTCAACAGTCTCAACTGCAGTTCCAGGCTCAACAGTCTCAACAGCAGCTCCAGGCTCAACAGTCTCAACAGCAGCTACAGGCTCAACAGTCTCAACAGCAGCTCCAGGCTCAACAGTCTCAACAGCAGCTCCAGGCTCAACAGTCGCAACTGCAGCTTCAGGCTCAACAGTCTCAACTGCAGTTCCAGGCTCAACAGTCTCAACTGCAGCTCCAGGCTCAACAGTCTCAACTGCAGCTCCAGGCTCAACAGTCTCAACGGCAGCTCCAGGCTCAACAGTCTCAACAGCAGCGCCAGGCCCAACAGTCTCAACGGCAGCTCCAGGCTCAACGGTCTCAACAACAGCGCCAGGCTCAACAGTCTCAACGGCAGCTCCAGGCTCAACGGTCTCAACAACAGCGCCAGGCTCAACAGTCTTAACAGCAGCTCCAGGCTCAACAGTCTCAACAGCAGCTCCAGGCTCAACGGTCTCAACAGCAGCTCCAGGCTCAACAGTCTCAACAGCAGCTCCAGGCTCAACAGTCTCAACAGCAGCTCCAGGCTCAACAGTCTCAACAACAGCTCCAGGCTCAACAGTCTCAACAGCAGCTCCAGGCTCAACAGTCTCAACAGCAGCTCCAGGCTCAACAGTCTCAACTGCAGCTCCAGGCTCAACAGTCTCAACAGCAGCTCCAGGCTCAACAGTCTCAACTGCAGCGCCAGGCTCAACAGTCTCAACAGCAGCGCCAGGTTCAACAGTCTCAACATCAGCGCCAGGCTCAACAGTCTCAACAGCAGCTCCAGGCTCAACAGTCTCAACATCAGCGCCAGGCTCAACAGTCTCAACGGCAGCTCCAGGCTCAACAGTCTCAACAGCAGCTCCAGGCTCAACAGTCTCAACATCAGCTCCAGGCTCAACAGTCTCAACATCAGCGCCAGGCTCAACAGTCTCAACGGCAGCACCAGGCTCAACAGTCTCAATGGCAGCTCCAGGCTCAACAGTCTCAACAGCAGCTCCAGGCTCAACAGTCTCAACATCAGCGCCAGGCTCAACAGTCTCAACGGCAGCTCCAGGCTCAACAGTCTCAACAGCAGCTCCAGGCTCAACAGTCTCAACAGCAGCTACAGGCTCAACAGTCTCAACAGCAGCTCCAGGCTCAACAGTCTCAACAACAGCTCCAGGCTCAACAGTCTCAACTGCAGCTCCAGGCTCAACAGTCTCAACAGCAGCTCCAGGCTCAACAGTCTCAACATCAGCTACAGGCTCAACAGTCTCAACAGCAGCTCCAGGCTCAACAGTCTCAACAGCAGCTCCAGGCTCAACAGTCGCAACTGCAGCTCCAGGCTCAACAGTCTCAACTGCAGCTCCAGGCTCAACAGTCTCAACTGCAGCTCCAGGCTCAACAGTCTCAACTGCAGCTCCAGGCTCAACAGTCTCAACGGCAGCTCCAGGCTCAACAGTCTCAACAGCAGCGCCAGGCTCAACAGTCTCAACGGCAGCTCCAGGCTCAACGGTCTCAACAACAGCACCAGGCTCAACAGTCTCAACGGCAGCTCCAGGCTCAACGGTCTCAACAACAGCGCCAGGCTCAACAGTCTCAACAGCAGCTCCAGGCTCAACAGTCTCAACAGCAGCTCCAGGCTCAACGGTCTCAACAGCAGCTCCAGGCTCAACAGTCTCAACAGCAGCTCCAGGTTCAACAGTCTCAACAGCAGCGCCAGGCTCAACAGTCTCAACAACAGCGCCAGGCTCAACAGTCTCAACAGCAGCTCCAGGCTCAACAGTCTCAACAGCAGCACCAGGCTCAACAGTCTCAACAGCAGTGCCAGGCTCAACAGTCTCAACAGCAGCACCAGGCTCAACAGTCTCAACAGCAGCACCAGGCTCAACAGTCTCAACAACAGCTCCAGGCTCAACAGTCTCAACAGCAGCTCCAGGCTCAACAGTCTCAACAGCAGCTCCAGGTTCAACAGTCTCAACTGCAGCTCCAGGCTCAACAGTCTCAACTGCAGCACCAGGCTCAACAGTCTCAACGGCAGCTCCAGGCTCAACAGTCTCAACAGCAGCTCCAGGCTCAACAGTCTCAACAGCAGCTACAGGCTCAACAGTCTCAACAGCAGCTCCAGGCTCAACAGTCTCAACTGCAGCTCCAGGCTCAACAGTCTCAACTGCAGCACCAGGCTCAACAGTCTCAACGGCAGCTCCAGGCTCAACAGTCTCAACTGCAGCTCCAGGCTCAACAGTCTCAACAGCAGCTCCAGGATCAACAGTCTCAACAGCAGCTACAGGCTCAACAGTCTCAACTGCAGCTCTAGGCTCAACAGTCTCAACTGCAGCTCCAGGCTCAACAGTCTCAACGGCAGCTCCAGGCTCAACAGTCTCAACAGCAGCGCCAGGCTCAACAGTCTCAACGGCAGCTCCAGGCTCAACGGTCTCAACAACAGAGCCAGGCGCAACAGTCTCAACGGCAGCTCCAGGCTCAACGGTCTCAACAACAGCGCCAGGCTCAACAGTCTCAACAGCAGCTCCAGGCTCAACAGTCTCAACAGCAGCTCCAGGCTCAACGGTCTCAACAGCAGCTGCAGGCTCAACAGTCTCAACAGCAGCTCCAGGCTCAACAGTCTCAACAGCAGCTCCAGGTTCAACAGTCTCAACAACAGCGCCAGGCTCAACAGTCTCAACAGCAGCTCCAGGCTCAACAGTCTCAACGGCAGCTCCAGGCTCAACGGTCTCAACAACAGAGCCAGGCTCAACAGTCTCAACGGCAGCTCCAGGCTCAACGGTCTCAACAACAGCACCAGGCTCAACAGTCTCAACAGCAGCTCCAGGCTCAACAGTCTCAACAGCAGCTCCAGGCTCAACGGTCTCAACAGCAGCTCCAGGCTCAACAGTCTCAACAGCAGCTCCAGGCTCAACAGTCTCAACAGCAGCTCCAGGTTCAACAGTCTCAACAACAGCGCCAGGCTCAACAGTCTCAACAGCAGCTCCAGGCTCAACAGTCTCAACGGCAGCTCCAGGCTCAACGGTCTCAACAGCAGCGCCAGGCTCAACAGTCTCAACGGCAGCTCCAGGCTCAACGGTCTCAACAGCAGCGCCAGGCTCAACAGTCTCAACGGCAGCTCCAGGCTCAACGGTCTCAACAACAGCGCCAGGCTCAACAGTCTCAACGGCAGCTCCAGGCTCAACAGTCTCAACAGCAGCTCCAGGCTCAACAGTCTCAACAACAGCGCCAGGCTCAACAGTCTCAACAGCAGCGCCAGGCTCAACAGTCTCAACAGCAGCACCAGGCTCAACAGTCTCAACAGCAGCTCCAGGCTCAACAGTCTCAACTGCAGCTCCAGGCTCAACAGTCTCAACAGCAGCTCCAGGCTCAACAGTCTCAACTGCAGCTCCAGGCTCAACAGTCTCAACAGCAGCACCAGGCTCAACAGTCTCAACAGCAGCTTCAGGCTCAACAGTCTCAACTGCAGCTCCAGGCTCAACAGTCTCAACAGCAGCTCCAGGCTCAACAGTCTCAACTGCAGCTCCAGGCTCAACAGTCTCAACTGCAGCACCAGGCTCAACAGTCTCAACGGCAGCTCCAGGCTCAACAGTCTCAACAGCAGCTCCAGGCTCAACAGTCTCAACAGCAGCTACAGGCTCAACAGTCTCAACAGCAGCTCCAGGCTCAACAGTCTCAACTGCAGCTCCAGGCTCAACAGTCTCAACTGCAGCACCAGGCTCAACAGTCTCAACGGCAGCTCCAGGCTCAACAGTCTCAACTGCAGCTCCAGGCTCAACAGTCTCAACAGCAGCTCCAGGCTCAACAGTCTCAACAGCAGCTACAGGCTCAACAGTCTCAACAGCAGCTCCAGGCTCAACAGTCTCAACAGCAGCTCCAGGCTCAACAGTCTCAACTGCAGCTCCAGGCTCAACAGTCTCAACAGCAGCTCCAGGCTCAACAGTCTCAACTGCAGCTCTAGGCTCAACAGTCTCAACTGCAGCTCCAGGCTCAACAGTCTCAACGGCAGCTCCAGGCTCAACAGTCTCAACAGCAGCGCCAGGCTCAACAGTCTCAACGGCAGCTCCAGGCTCAACGGTCTCAACAACAGAGCCAGGCTCAACAGTCTCAACGGCATCTCCAGGCTCAACGGTCTCAACAACAGCGCCAGGCTCAACAGTCTCAACAGCAGCTCCAGGCTCAACAGTCTCAACAGCAGCTCCAGGCTCAACGGTCTCAACCGCAGCTCCAGGCTCAACAGCCTCAACAGCAGCTCCAGGCTCAACAGTCTCAACAGCAGCTCCAGGTTCAACAGTCTCAACAACAGCGCCAGGCTCAACAATCTCAACAGCAGCTCCAGGCTCAACAGTCTCAACGGCAGCTCCAGGCTCAACGGTCTCAACAGCAGCGCCAGGCTCAACAGTCTCAACGGCAGCTCCAGGCTCAACGGTCTCAACAACAGCGCAAGGCTCAACAGTCTCAACGGCAGCTCCAGGCTCAACAGTCTCAACAGCAGCTCCAGGCTCAACAGTCTCAACAACAGCGCCAGGCTCAACAGTCTCAACAGCAGCGCCAGGCTCAACAGTCTCAACAGCAGCACCAGGCTCAACAGTCTCAACAGCAGCTCCAGGCTCAACAGTCTCAACTGCAGCTCCAGGCTCAACAGTCTCAACAGCAGCACCAGGCTCAACAGTCTCAACAGCAGCTTCAGGCTCAACAGTCTCAACTGCAGCTCCAGGCTCAACAGTCTCAACAGCAACTACAGTCTCAACAGTCTCAACTGCAGCTCCAGGCTCAACAGCCTCAACTGCAGCGCCAGGCTCAACAGTCTCAACAGCAGCGCCAGGCTCCACAGTCTCAACAGCCGCTCCAGGCTCAACAGTTTCAACAGCAGCTCCAGGCTCAACAGTCTCAACAGCAGCGCCAGGCTCAACAGTCTCAACGGCAGCGCCAGGCTCAACAGTCTCAACAGCAGCTCCAGGCTCAACAGTTTCAACAGCAGCTCCACGCTCAACAGTCTCAACAGCAGCACCAGGCTCAACAGTCTCAACAGCAGCTCTAGGCTCAACAGTCTCAACAGCAGCACCAGGCTCAACAGTCTCAACAGCAGCTCCAGGCTCAACCGTCTCAACAGCAGCGCCAGGCTCAACAGTCTCAACAGCAGCTGCAGGCTCAACAGTCTCAACTGCAGCTCCAGGCTCAACAGTCTCAACAGCAGCTCCAGGCTCAACCGTCTCAACAGCAGCTCCAGGCTCAACAGTCTCAACAGCAGCGCCAGGCTCAACAGTCTCAACAGCAGCTCCAGGCTCAACAGCCTCAACACCACCCGGAACTGCACATTCATCAATAGCCCCAGTCTCTTCTGCCTCAACTATAGCAGGAACAACAGTGTCATCGACAACACCAATCTCTCAAGCAATCACTACCACAGTTGCTACAGCCACTTCAACAGCAGGCTCTGTGTCTCCAGCAAGCACACAACCTTCAACAGCCCAAATGGTATCCTCAGCAATCACTGCAGCTGCCTCTCCCACACCATCGACACCAACATCACATTCGGTAGCAGTGTCTTCCTACTCTACAGCTGGGCCAAGCTCAGTAACAGCTCCATCAACAGCTGTGAAAATTACGACGCTTTCATCTGCACCAGGTATTAAAATGTTTGCAGGCAACAGCAGCCCACCATCTCACTACAATATCACTTCCAAAATGTTTTACATACTAGCCACATTCACACAAATCCTGCACCAAACAACAAAAGCCTAAACAACAATAATAAAACAATCATAGAACGCAAACTTCATCATGTCCAACATTACAATAATACAATTTTCAGAATTTTAAGATTATTAGCCACTGCCAATGTTGCATTTGTTGATGTTTTACATTTTACTTCTTGCAGGATCCACAACAGCGATAAAAACGACAATCCTTACCTCTTCAAGTCCTCAGACTATTTCCGAAGGTAAAAACATTTCTGGACGTGAACGTGCCTCTTAACGCTTTGTCACTGATGCTGAACAAGATAACTGGCAGAGGCTGGCATTCAACATTTCTCCCAATGATTTAGCCTTTGGTTGTCATTGAAACATATTGAAATCAACATTCCACACGTAGTATATATGTAGAGTGCGATTAAAGGCGATTCTAATGAGATACGGAGGAGAGGTGTGAGAGTGCAAGGGTGAGAGTAGAGTGAGATGAGAGCGGAGAGGTATTCAGGGCAGAGTCAGGCGAAGATTTTAAAGATTAAGGATAAATTCATGAACATTTCTCAGCTCCCCTATTTCCCGAGGTCAGCAATGTCACAAAGACTATCCTGACGTCTGTGGAATCAGTGCAGGACATTGCAGCTTGTATTCCATGCCCACTTCCCTCCCTATAAAAAAATTTGCATTTTTAAAAATGTAAGTTGAATTCTGTCGCACTGCACGTAGCCAACAGTGCTAATCGGAGGTGCAGGGGAAGTGATTTGATTACCTTTCCTATACTTTGCACTCCGATCGTGTTTTGTATTGTTTGTTGTTGTACCGTTCTGACCTGCTCCCGAGTGAACATATGTGAAAAAAAGCTTCATAGCTCATCGGATTTCCTTCAGTAAAATTAATATTCTGTTTCTATCACCCTTACCCTACTGAAACCCAGTTTTAACTTGTGTTTTTCTCTTTTTACCAAAGGTACAATCATATCTGTGACAAATGCACCAATCAACGCAGGGAAGACAACAACCTCAACTACAAGCACAGGTAAAAACGTGCATCCTTCAAGGTCGATCATGTTTGAAGTGGCTGGGTGGCTAATAATGTGTCGCAGACAATCATAATTAAAGTGGGTTCTCAAGCATAATGAGTTGATGGTTTTAACCAAGTCACCAAAAACTTACGCAAACTTATGCATCGACAAGTAACCATCCCTAATCTCCCAGTCCATTCATCAAATCACATGTTACGAGGCTATGCTATATAGAATACATGCAATGGGTTCACGTGAACTCCGTTGCCTATTGGGAGAGGCACTACCATTAACATCAATGTTGAAAAACAGAGAATGGATATTTGAATAGAACTTGGGTTTTCGCGGTTGTGCTGCATAGCTCTCCGATATGTTTTCAGGGTGTGCCTCTGTGTGTTGTAAAACCCATTGATCAACCAATAATTAACTGATTAACTGTTCATATGAAAGAATGTTTTAAGCGGAGTATGACGAATGCATGACATTGTATTTGTATGAATATTACTAACACGGCAAATATGAAAACTTTTCAGGCACAACTTCAAAGACATCAACAGTTCCTAACCTCACAAACTCAACGCCAATAACCCCAATAAGCACATTAACTACAACAACAGCAGCAACAGCAGCAATAATATTAACAAGCCAGTCTTCCACGGCAACAGTAGCCACAACGCCACCAACAGGCTCAACAGTCTCAACGGCAGCTCCAGGCTCAACAGTCTCAACAGCAGTGCCAGGCTCAACAGTCTCAACAACAGCTCCAGGCTCAACAGTCTCAACAAGAGCTCCAGGATCAACAGTCTCAACTGCAGCTCCAGGCTCAACAGTCTCAACTGCAGCGCCAGGCTCAACAGTCTCAACTGCAGCTCCAGGCTCAACAGTCATAACAACAGCTCCAGGCTCAACAGTCTCAACTGCAGCTCCAGGCTCAACAGTCTCAACAGCAGCTCCAGGCTCAACAGTCTCAACAACAGCACCAGGCTCAACAGTCTCAACAGCAGCTCCAGGCTCAACAGTCTCAACAGCAGCTCCAGGCTCAACAGTCTCAACAACAGCTCCAGGCTCAACAGTCTCAACTGCAGCTCCAGGCTCAACAGTCTCAACAGGAGCGCCAGGCTCAACAGTCTCAACAACAGCTCCAAGCTCAACAGTCTCAACAGCAGTGCCAGGCTCAACAGTCTCAACAGCAGCTCCAGGCTCAACAGTCTCAACTGCAGCTCCAGGCTCAACAGTCTCAACTGCAGCTCCAGGCTCAACAGTCTCAACAACAGTGTCAGGCTCAACAATCTCAACAACAGCTCCAGGCTCAACAGTCTCAACAACAGTGTCAGGCTCAACAGTCTCAACAACAGCTCCAGGCTCAACACTCTCAACGGCAGCTCCAGGCTCAACAGTTTCAACAGCAGCTCCAGGCTCAACAGTCTCAACAACAGTGTCAGGCTCAACAATCTCAACAACAGCGCCAGGCTCAACAGTCTCAACAACAGCTCCAAGCTCAACAGTCTCAACAGCAGTGCCAGGCTCAACAGTCTCAACAGCAGCTCCAGGCTCAACAGTCTCAACTGCAGCTCCAGGCTCAACAGTCTCAACTGCAGCTCCAGGCTCAACAGTCTCAACAACAGTGTCAGGCTCAACAATCTCAACAACAGCTCCAGGCTCAACAGTCTCAACAACAGTGTCAGGCTCAACAGTCTCAACAACAGCTCCAGGCTCAACACTCTCAACGGCAGCTCCAGGCTCAACAATTTCAACAGCAGCTCCAGGCTCAACAGTCTCAACAACAGTGTCAGGCTCAACAATCTCAACAACAGCTCCAGGCTCAACAGTCTCAACGGCAGCTCCAGGCTCAACAGTCTCAACGGCAGCTCCAGGCTCAACAGTCGCAACAACAGTGTCAGGCTCAACAATCTCAACGGCAGCTCCAGGCTCAACAGTCTCAACAACAGTGTCAGGCTCAACAATCTCAACAACAGCTCCAGTCTCAACAGTCTCAACGGCAGCTCCAGGCTCAACAGTCTCAACAGCAGCGCCAGGCTCAACAATCTCAACAGCAGTGCCAGGCTCAACAGTCACAACTGCAGCGCCAGGCTCAACAGTCACAACTGCAGCGCCAGGCTCAACAGTCTCAACAGCAGCGCCAGGCTCAACAATCTCAACAGCAGTGCCAGGCTCAACAGTCTCAACGGCAGCACCAGGCTCAACAGTCTCAACGGCAGCTCCAGGCTCAACAGTCTCAACAGCAGCTCCAGGCTCAACAGTCTCAACAGCAGCTCCAGGCTCAACAGTCTCAACGGCAGCTCCAGGCTCAACAGTCTCAACGGCAGCTCCAGGCTCAACAATCTCAACGGCAGCTCCAGGCTCAACAGTCTCAACGGCAGCTCCAGGCTCAACAGTCTCAACGGCAGCTCCAGGCTCAACAGTCTCAACAGCAGCTCCAGGCTCAACAGTCTCAACAGCAGCGCCAGGCTCAACAGTCTCAACAACAGCACCAGGCTCAACAGTCTCAACAACAGCACCAGGCTCAACAGTCTCAACGGCAGCTCCAGGCTCAACAGTCTCAACGGCAGCTCCAGGCTCAACAGTCCCAACGGCAGCTCCAGGCTCAACAGTCTCAACAGCAGCGCCAGGCTCAACAGTCTCAACAACAGCACCAGGCTCAACAGTCTCAACAACAGCACCAGGCTCAACAGTCTCAACGGCAGCTCCAGGCTCAACAGTCTCAACAGCAGCTCCAGGCTCAACAGTCTCAACGGCAGCTCCAGGCTCAACAGTCTCAACTGCAGCTCCAGGCTCAACAGTCTCAACAGCAGCTCCAGGCTCAACAGTCTCAACAGCAGTGCCAGGCTCAACAGTCACAACTGCAGCGCCAGGCTCAACAGTCACAACTGCAGCGCCAGGCTCAACAGTCTCAACAGCAGCGCCAGGCTCAACAATCTCAACAGCAGTGCCAGGCTCAACAGTCTCAACTGCAGCTCCAGGCTCAACAGTCTCAACAACAGCTCCAGGCTCAACAGTTTCAACGGCAGCGCCAGGCTCAACAGTCTCAACGGCAGCACCAGGCTCAACAGTCTCAACGGCAGCTCCAGGCTCAACAGTCTCAACAGCAGCTCCAGGCTCAACAGTCTCAACAGCAGCTCCAGGCTCAACAGTCTCAACGGCAGCTCCAGGCTCAACAGTCTCAACGGCAGCTCCAGGCTCAACAATCTCAACGGCAGCTCCAGGCTCAACAGTCTCAACGGCAGCTCCAGGCTCAACAGTCTCAACGGCAGCTCCAGGCTCAACAGTCTCAACAGCAGCTCCAGGCTCAACAGTCTCAACAGCAGCGCCAGGCTCAACAGTCTCAACAACAGCACCAGGCTCAACAGTCTCAACAACAGCACCAGGCTCAACAGTCTCAACGGCAGCTCCAGGCTCAACAGTCTCAACGGCAGCTCCAGGCTCAACAGTCCCAACGGCAGCTCCAGGCTCAACAGTCTCAACAGCAGCGCCAGGCTCAACAGTCTCAACAACAGCACCAGGCTCAACAGTCTCAACAACAGCACCAGGCTCAACAGTCTCAACGGCAGCTCCAGGCTCAACAGTCTCAACAGCAGCTCCAGGCTCAACAGTCTCAACGGCAGCTCCAGGCTCAACAGTCTCAACTGCAGCTCCAGGCTCAACAGTCTCAACAGCAGCTCCAGGCTCAACAGTCTCAACAGCAGTGCCAGGCTCAACAGTCTCAACAGCAGCGCCAGGCTCAACAGTCTCAACAACAGCTCCAGGCTCAACAGTCTCAACAGCAGCGCCAGGCTCAACAGTCTCAACTGCAGCTCCAGGCTCAACAGTCTCAACAGCAGCTCCAGGCTCAACAGTCTCAACTGCAGCGCCAGGCTCAACAGTCTCAACTGCAGCGCCAGGCTCAACAGTCTCAACTGCAGCTCCAGGCTCAACAGTCTCAACAGCAGCTCCAGGCTCAACAGTCTCAACTGCAGCTCCAGGCTCAACAGTCTCAACAGCAGCGCCAGGCTCAACAGTCTCAACAGCAGCTCCAGGCTCAACAGTCTCAACAGCAGCTCCAGGCTCAACAGTCTCAACATCAGCGCCAGGCTCAACAGTCTCAACAGCAGCTCCAGGCTCAACAGTCTCAACTGCAGCTCCAGGCTCAACAGTCTCAACATCAGCGCCAGGCTCAACAGTCTCAACAGCAGCTCCAGGCTCAACAGTCTCAACTGCAGCTCCAGGCTCAACAGTCTCAACAGCAGCTCCAGGCTCAACAGTCTCAACTGCAGCTCCAGGCTCAACAGTCTCAACTGCAGCTCCAGGCTCAACAGTTTCAACTGCAGCTCCAGGCTCAACAGTCTCAACTGCAGCTCCAGGCTCAACAGTCTCAACGGCAGCTCCAGGCTCAACAATCTCAACGGCAGCTCCAGGCTCAACAGTCTCAACGGCAGCTCCAGGCTCAACAGTCTCAACGGCAGCTCAAGGCTCAACAGTCTCAACAGCAGCTCCAGGCTCAACAGTCTCAACAGCAGCACCAGGCTCAACAGTCTCAACAACAGCACCAGGCTCAACAGTCTCAACAACAGCACCAGGCTCAACAGTCTCAACGGCAGCTCCAGGCTCAACAGTCTCAACGGCAGCTCCAGGCTCAACAGTCCCAACGGCAGCTCCAGGCTCAACAGTCTCAACAGCAGCGCCAGGCTCAACAGTCTCAACAACAGCACCAGGCTCAACAGTCTCAACAACAGCACCAGGCTCAACAGTCTCAACCACAGCTCCAGGCTCAACAGTCTCAACAGCAGCTCCAGGCTCAACAGTCTCAACGGCAGCTCCAGGCTCAACAGTCTCAACTGCAGCTCCAGGCTCAACAGTCTCAACAGCAGCTCCAGGCTCAACAGTCTCAACAGCAGTGCCAGGCTCAACAGTCTCAACAGCAGCGCCAGGCTCAACAGTCTCAACAACAGCTCCAGGCTCAACAGTCTCAACAGCAGCGCCTGAGTCAACGGTCTCAACGGCAGCTCTAGGCTCAACG